GTTGATCATTTTACAAACCACTGCATATTATCATATTGAGTATCTCTAAATTACAATGACGGATGCTGCAATTCATCATTTTCTCTCCTGACACTGTTTGTATCTGCGAGTACCAATCTGACACCAGTGCCCCCCTTTCTTTCTCTAAATTTAACTATCGTAGACCTCACTGGGCAAAATTCATTGGATCATTTTTATGGAAGGTGCAAAACATCTGTAAACCTAAACAACACAACATTTAATTTTCATGTCACATTCTCCTTGCTTTTCAAATTTACATTTATGTATGTATTGTAATATACATATATTTATGGAACTTTGGGAATAACAAATTAAATTGAATGACTAATATGTTCGGACAATCGAGACTGTATTCACTGTTCTCTCTTGACCCTGCAGTCAAAGACTTCAACACTAATGACTAATAAGCACCAGCAGTTGACTCTAAACTCTGTCTGAAAGAAAAAATTGGTGGCGCATTGCCTGAAGTAGGTTATGAAGGAAACACACACACACACACACACACACACACACACACCTCTTTCCTTTTATACTGTTCAGGTCTGACAGCTTTTAAATACACTGGTTACACTGGGGACCATAAGGGTTCCTACGGTCAAGGAAAACCTGGAAAAGTCGTGGAATTTCACAATCTTGTTTTCCAGGCCTGGTAAAGTCATGGTATGAGTAAAACCCTTGAATGTTGTTGAAAAGTTGTTACATTTTGTTGTGGTTAATGGAATTAATTTTTAAAGAAATCTTCCATGAATAAACTTCCGCATGATGCAAAGTGATGGCAAAAAATTTTCTGTAGATGTTGACGTAACATAGCTCTAATACATTTGCGATGGATTGTTACTAGGCCTGGGACGATCAGCGATCAAATCGTATATTGGCGATTGGAGGGTTGCCAGGCTTTTGCTGGATATCAAGGCGACTTTGGGGGAAAAAAAAAAAAAACTGCACTCTACCGTGCATTAAGAGATGTTTTTTTGGGAAATACATGACTGTTAGAGAAGCCCCGTTTACAAACAGACCTACAATCCATCTCCTCTCCTCTCCTCTCCTCTCCTCTCCTCTCCTCTCCTCTCCTCTCTGTCTTCTCAGCGGAGGGGCCCTGTCAGCCCTGCGCTGACAGTGACAGGGTGCATCTCTTTGATCTGAAGACACAGCCCGTTTGCTCATGCTTCGGGGTCATTCAATAGAGTAATTGCAAATAAATATTGTTTTAATGTGTAACTATTGAAATGTTCACAAGGGCTTTCAGAAATTCCTACAATGTTGCGGCACTGCCGCCTTTGCAGGTTAAAAGTTAATGACAGCGACTTGAAATGAGGAGGAGCAACACTTGACAACTCGGAGACGCTCACTTTTGCATGTGGTTCAAAATATTAAAATAAAGTGGTAGTGATCGACATAAGACATGTGCCAAGGCAGTAACCCCGCACGTGCCAAGGATGTAACCACCATTCATCATTATATAGTAAGATGTAGGGTTGTGAATCCCAAACTTTCCATACATGCTATGCCCTACTGTAATGTTCATATTATACATTGTAAATTTTATTATGAGTCCTTAATATGTTATGAAGAAGTCTTCAGAAGAACTTTGTCCGTGACAATATGTGGGAACCCTGGGCCACTGTGAAACCAACAGCACCCAGCTGTACCTCAGCACAAAACCATCCACCCATCTCCCTCCACAGTCCCTTGTCAACTGCCTGCAAAACATAAAACCATAGATATTGTTGGGATCAACATATTAGGCCTCACCAAGGGGCACCAAATATGTAGGGATTTAAATTCGGGCTTCACATGGAGGCACCAAATATGTTGGGAACATAATTTTAGGTCTCACACGGTGGCACCAAATATGTTGTGATCAACATATTAGGGCATCACACGGAGGTACCAATTATGTTGGGGTCAATTGGCTATCGGAAATAATTAATAATTATTAATAATAATTAATAATTATGTTAAATAATGTGACTTAATTAACATTAAATCACCTTGTGGGGCACCATTACCGTAAAGGGAAAAATGACAGTTAAAGATATCAGTCTCGTAAAATACGCTAAACTATTAATTTAGAGTTTTGATTAATAATTAAATTAATGACAACAACCAAAATTAACAGTAACGTCTGAAGGATTTCGGAGTTCTTGACACAGCAGAGGTTGACTATTCATTCACTCTTGTGCAACATTAAACAGACAGCAGGTATGATTCCAACGAATTATATTTATTCTCAACTAGCAAAGCAAACCAAAACACACAAATTCTAACTAACTATATACAAGCTTGGTGTGTGTGTGTGTGTGTGTGTGTGTGTGTGTGTGTGTGCGTGCAAGAGAGAAAAGGGAAAGACAAAGGCGGGTGTGGTGATCAAAGAGCCGTTTGGCCTACAAAACAAAATGGCTGACAACAGAGAACTACAAAATGGCAGAATCAAAGCTGGCTTCAGGTCGGGGGAGGTGTTTGTCTGACCATGTGGTCAGGACAAAGACAAAGGAAAAGAAGCGTGAACTTTGAGATGCCTGTTTGGGTGTAGCTCTGTTGAAAGCCTATTTGTTGATGAGTCTATGTCAATGTGACGTATGTTGCAAACAGTCCTGATTAGTGCAGAGATTGTTTAGTTGTGTGCAAGAATCTGTTTGTGAACAGTATTAGCAAACTAAACACTTAGCTTTGGCGAAGCCAACTAATCAATGACCTAACTGCAAACTATCACAACAATAACTCAATGACAGCATTAAATCACATACAACAAGTTAAACAGTCTTGCTTAGCCTGTAAAGCTGTGATAAAGCTATGCCCAGTTGTTACGTTACCGATCCTTGAGTGGATGGGAGAAAGAGTCACTTGGTGGTGTGCTGCTTTGTTAGCCAGCAGAAGAAGGCTGGGAAGAGCTGTGGTTCCAGCTGCAGTCTTTGCTGTGTCCTTGTTCCAACGGTTCTGATCCGAGGAAGCCAGTCGCTCGGGGTCCTTGCAGAGTTAGACGCTGGGTGCTAACTCACTTAGTTCCTTGTTGCTGGAAAGCTAGTTGCAAACCTTGTGCTTGCACCTCTAACTTTCTGGTTCAGGTTAGAGAGTCTGTGATCAATTGCCCCACCTTTGATGGTTCAGGGCAAGGAGCAAGGGTCTGAGCATCTGGACTGTTCCAGGCCCAGCAGGAAAAAGGTGTGGGCTGCTCCGCAGTTCCTGAGTAAGAGAGCAGAACTGTCTGAAGGGAGCAGACCTTCTACAGATGCCTGTGACATCACAGAGTCACATGTCACTGTAAAAGTCCTGCCCAATTAAGTTGTGAGACTTGTGTTTCACTGAGGTGTGAGGTGAGACCTCCTGTGGAGTTGGGTGTCACATAGCTCTCTTTGTTTGAAGACAAAGAGCATGCAGAGGAAAAAGCCTTCAAATGTCCCGTTTAGATTTTAAAACTGATCTCTGTGGTCCTTTGAATCCCAGCAATATCATCCTGCTCAAACTAAACAGCAATACAACTGAGCTGATGGCTGCGGCTTCTAAGCTGCTGCTCCAGAAGGTTGGTGATCCTCTCCTTGATGTGGACAGCTGCATCATCTGCCTTTCCCCAGAAGTGTGCAACCCTGGTGTCATACTGGACTCGACCTTCTCATTCCAGTCACACATCTAATCCATCACCAAATATGCTTTTAATCACTTGAGAAGCATCTCTAGACTCCGGCCATAATTCACAGACTGTGTGGCAGAGACCCTCATCCATGCAGTCATGGCCTCCCATATGGATTGTTTTAATGGAATCCTGTCTGGGATACTCACTAAAGCTCGGGACAGGCTCCATGAGGGGTCTGCCACATCACAATAATTTTTTATATGGTATGAAAAATTCATATTGTGATGCTTGCAATATTTTGACTTGTTCACATATTGACGTCATCCTGTTATACACAGCAACAAGCTTGGCTGAAAGCAAAATTATCACAGGTGCTGCGGTGGTTCCAAAAAGAGGAGCAGCTCCAGTAGTGTGGAACTAACTGTGGCGTTGTTAGGCCTAATCCTGTTATCCCCAACAAACACTGCTACCATTTTTTTTGTTTGCGTTATTTGTCCTGCTTTCATATATGTAAAGAGTTCTTGGGTCCATTGAAAGGTGCTATATGCTGTTAAATTAATTCAAATACTGCAGCAGCACAAGGTTTTATATACATAGATATTAAATGTAGGGATGTGATGATTATAGATTTTCTTGGTACGATTATTGTCAGAGAAATAATCACGGTTTTACGATTATCACAATTATTATACATTAATTAATTTCACACTATAAATGTGTAAAATCACATGAACACTCCTTATAGATCTTTAAGTTTCATTCAACATAACAAAAATAATATAGCAACAAAGAAAAGTAACCAAGAAGTACAAGATTTAATGACAATAATCCCATTGGAATTAAACAAAAATCACCTCTTTTAAACATCCACAGCATTATTTCCCTTTTGGGAAAAAAGGTTTCAAATGCTACATGTATTTCTTTACAGACTTTCTGTAAACTATATTACAAAAATGTTTCTGAACATTTCTTTTGGACCTGAGAAGAGAATTTTTAAACAGGAAAAAAAATCTAGCTAGCTTTTGATTTATAGATGCCCTTTGAAACATAAATAATCCATACTTCATCACTTGGAGACGCCTATTCACCTGTACCACTTGTTTAACTTTGTTTTCGTTCCGTGAGAGTTGCGCTGATCTGCCTACTGTATGTGGTTCCGCATCCCGGCATAATCTTTGGAGAGTGACGGTGTTGAGGAATCTTTATGAATAATTAACCGTGGCGTTTAAAATCGCGGTTAATAGTGAAATCAAGTAATCGTGACATCCCTAATTAAATGCACGTTTACCTCAAGAGCACTATATTTATCATTTAATGTTCATCTGTTATGCAGAAAATAAAATCTTTTTAATATACTGATGTGATCTCAGGTGAACTGGACTTCGGTTTTCTTTGTTTTCTGTCTTAGAGTGAAGATGAATGAGGATGCATTTGAGGTCCCAGAGAGGACTGAGTACCGCTACCTGGTGCAGGAGGAGGACGAGGAGGAGGTGCAGTATGTCCGTCACAGACACTACATCAGCCCCCTCCTGGTGCTCTCCAGACGCTGTATCTTCCTCATCTGCCTTGGTGTGGTCGCTCTGCTCTCTCTCGCCACATACCTGGGATACGTCGCCCAGACGCTGCCACCGGGTATTGCCCAGGTGTCGACGGACTGTGGAGAGTACAGAGGAAGACACGTGAGTTTAGACATGGACTCAGTGTTTCTTTATACAGTCCATCAGATGGACATGTGTCCTTAAAATAGACATAATCATACAAGGTATACAAAATAATATTACAGTCAACATGAGGAGGGAATGTGCATTCAGCATGAAATCTCTAAATCTCTGCTATTATTAGTTTAAAGCAGATTCCTGCATCACTTTTACATGTTGTTATTTTTATAGATGTAACCATCCTTCGTCTCAGTAATGATAACAATTTATACACCATATTTATTACAAGTACACAGTTGATATAAACACCAACAGACAGCACAGAGCCAGCACGAGCCATCACACAGATTTTAGATTTAATCATTTTGCAGTAGTAGTTGATCCAAAATACAAAGAATCTTTTAAATGAACAGTCTTATTTAATAATTCTAATGTTCACAAGTGTAAGTAAGTTGGACTGTTGAGGAGTTGATACACCCCTCTCTTCCAAATCTCTACACAAGGACTTGAATGATTAATTAACAGGACAAATACAAATATCAAACATTATATGGTTCTTAAATGTTATGATTTTCCCTGCTTTATATCTTTGTAAAATGAGTTTTGGACTGTTGATTTGACAAAATGAGACATTTGAAGATGTCACACTGAGGTGATGAATTGTTATCTTTATGTACAGCAGGTTAAAACAGAATTAGCATATTCAATTTTCAATTTTATTCAATTTTATTTATAAAGCCCAATATCACAAATCACAATTTGCCTCACAGGGCTTTACAGCATACGACATCCCTCTGTCCTTAAGACCCTCACAGCGGATAAGGAAAAACTCCCCAAAAAA